ATGTTGCTCCTCTTGATGAAGATGCTGCTCCTCTTGATGATTACGTTGTAGATGTTCAAAACTATCCTCGATCGCTGGGATAAGTACATGATCTTTAGCTCCAATATTTAGGGCAACAGGTTGTTCAATAGCTTGATGTTGCTCCTCCTCTTGATGAAGATGCTGCTCCTCTTGATTTAGAGCTTCAACCTCGACATCTCTAGCAAGTCTATAAACTTTGCATAGCACCCAACCATCCAACTGCAAATAAATAAAATCCATTTAAAAACGTACAGAAACATTATTTACAAATAAATTGCTTCAAAGTTACACTCAATAAAGTATATATTATAGTGTAATTATAGCTTACCATATTTTTTGGTTTGGAGCCTTGGGATTGTGATGTACCATCATGATCATTTGTTTTACATCTTTTTGGTTTAGGCTCCGAGGTTGAAGGAACATTATTAAGCCTAAATTCGTGCATGAGCCATGGTGTTTTGATTCCCTTGGTTCGTTTTTATTTTTTGGAGCGGGTTCGATTTTAATAAAGAATGCTAAAGCCTTCCTATAACCAATAGTTATTCCTTGTTTGTTCCTTATTGTTGCATCTACCCCTGTAGCCTTCCAATAACCATTGCCAGCGGATCTTCTAGGTCGACTTCCGTTTTCATATAATCTTTCTAATCTTGTGAAAAAATACCAAGTGTTCTCACTTTCGGGTTCATAATACACTGCATCAAAGATCAAGAAATTATTATATACAATACCAACACAATATTAATCACCATGAGATACAATGTAATTAATTATAATTAAACAAAACAGAAGTATAAATTTGACGCACCATAGTAAACACAATCAATAATGAAAAGCATGCATACTAATGCTTACGACTTAGTTAGGAGTCCATATCATCAAAATATGAAATAATTCTAGAGATACTAAACCATTAAATTAGAGAGTACCAAACACTCATCACTTAGAATATAAAATTATTTTTAAGGCTATTCTTGTATATATTATCATGAACCATACATACAAACTAAGGAAAACATACAGTAGTTTATACAAAAGTTAATTAAATCGTCAAATATGCATGAGTATGCCTTTATATACATTAGATTATTAGTGGCAAGTTTATGTATCAAGAATTCAAGAATATCAAAAGAAAAAAAAAAAAAAAAAAACATACGAAGACATAATAATGGGACAATATAATCATACGAAGACATATCACCGAAGACATACGACGAACATGCGTACTACTTCAACATATAAATTATATAATAATAAATATTTCTTTGTATAATCGATTTAACTAGTTAAGTTCAAACATTAATCGGTTTCAAAAAACAAAAGTTCAAACATTAACAACATTCACCATGCATAATATCAACAATTAATAATTAATTTTAGACGAATAAATTAAAAGGAAAACAAATAAGATCAAGACTGAAAAAAATCATCGTAAAACGTACGTGTAAGATCTTGAGGACCGAGCACACCGTACAATACAGTCTCATGCATCTTATTTGGTGGCAAAGCTTCGCCATTAATCTTCTTAACTAGGTAATGAGTAATCAATTCTTCATCTTTTGGGTCAAAGCGAAAACCCGGAGGAATCATATTCCAGATATTTACCGTTTCATTGCTCGAACTAGCCATGATTATTTAATTTGAGCTTATGAATGATACTTGAAGAAGGTTTATTTGTTGAAAGAAAAGTAAAGCAAAGAGAATTTAATCTGATTTTGTTGAAAGAAAAGAAGTACGGACTCACGGTATATATACACTTATTACAACTTATTATGCACGCTAGGGCAAATTTGCATTTGGATAAGGGTACTTTCCATAAAAAAAAAAGATGGATTAGGGTTATAGATTTAGGTGGATTTTCTGGTTATTGTTAGCTAAAAAGATAGAATTATAGTCCCTTTCAAAAAAAAAAAAAAAAAGATAGAATTATAGTTGTGTTAATAAAATAAAATTAATGCCCTAATACAAGATATAATTAGTAAGAAATATTTAATTACCACTAAATTATGAGATTGTATTTTTAAATTTTGTTTTCTTGATAAAAAAAATCTAAATTTTAGTTCAAAATAAATAAATGTTGTATTTCTTCTCCACTAAAAAAAGAATAATTACTATGTAGTCACTCTCTGCATTCCTTTCTTTTTTTTAGAATTTGAGTTTTATTATATGGTCAACTTTGTAAATTTTTAACTATAAAATTCACTATTACAAACCTCAAAATTATATCTTGTGTGATCTTGTTGAATTCAAATTGAAATGTTTTTCTAAATACCAATTTTATACTCCCTCCGTTTCATGATGTTAGTCCCATATACTATTTTAAGCGTTTCAAAAAGATCTACCCATATTGAATATATTCCATTTTTAACTTAGTTTTTATTTTTTATTTTATACATATTAAATTCCGATTGGTTAAATTAATTGATTGTTGATTAATGACATGTCTCTAAGTAAGGAAATCCCTCCCTTAAATTATGCAATTATGGGCTTTATGGCTGATCTTTCCAAAAAAAAAAATCAAAATCAAAATAAGGCAAAACTAATTATAAACTGTTTTTGTACTTTAATGTTGGATTTCAAATATTCTTCTTTTCTTATTTTATGTGATCAGAGGGGGACCTTCCACCGGGGCCATTTGAGGCCTGGCCCCCAAGACATAATGATTAATTTTGAACGAGAAGTAAAAGATTTAAATTCTAACCCCTCTAATATTTTTAGCCAAGATATGTCATTATATGTGATTGATTTCATATGGGACTATCATATAAAAATGAAGGGAGTAGAATTTATATACTCATATTGCATTTAATATATACATGCAAAAAAGTGAATTGAGTCATTGAATGTAATGAAAATAAAAAGGAACCCAGTGAGTATGAATTCGATACATAAATTGCAAGTGAAACAAATATTAACATACATGTACTCTTTTCACCTTCAAGGGACAAAACCAATTGACACATGTACTCTTTTCACTTTTAAGGGACAAAACCAATTGACCAAACTCCTACTAATAAATTTGCTATCTAATATAAATCTCGTCCCTTGCACTATCTTGGAATAATACCAAAGGCTAGCTAGCGGCTGAATTTTCAATATGTATGTAACATGAGAAATCAAAGTCGATCATTTTTAAAGTATGGAAAATGTAATAATACGACTGTTCTTTTTTTTTTTTTTTTTTTTTTTTTTTATGGTGTTTAGAGAGTCATAATGGACAGGGGTGAGAAAAGATTTCAGGATCTCTTGGAATCAGGAGGGAAGCTCTAACCACTTGAGCTATCCCTCACTCTCACTGTTCTTGCTAAATGCTAATATAATTGTTATATAATTAATGTTTATTGTAAAATGGCCATAGATTCTAAGGAAAATATTGTAATTCATATTGGAAAAATGATTTTTTTTTAAGAGATGCTTATAAACACCAATGGCTATAACTTTTACCTGATAAAAGAGCTTATAAACACCAATATAATTTAAAAATACTAATTAATGATAAAAAAAAATAAAAAATAAAAAAATTACAATCTATGTACCTATACTAAAGTGGAGAATTTGATTCCCTCTTAAACTCAACTATTTTTTTTTTTTAACAAAATCATTAATTTATCTACAAACTTCACTATTTATTTATGCTTAACTATTGACTTACATTTATGTATAGACTTCTATATTTCAATTAGGACTTATTGTGAAGAATTACATTATACAAGTCAGTTTTTTGTGAAAAACTACCTTATTAAAAAAATGTTGTAAGAAACTACCTTATAAAACAATTAATGTTGTAAAAAGCTATCTTTTGCCGAATTATTGCTTTAAGTAAGAGACATTAATGACACATTTTCAATCATTTTTTCTCATTTTTCCACCCACTTTCTCCATAACCTCCTTAGAACTCCTTAATCCCCTTCTCTTTCATTGTTAAATTAAGTACATGGTAGCAACTTACAACATTTAGTTTTTATAAGGTAGTTTCTTACAACAATTTATTTATAAGAAAGTTTTCCACAAAATTTAATGTATATAAGGTAGTTTTTTACAATAAGTCGTTTCAATTACTACTCCATATAAATTTAAAAATCGAGCATGGCTCGTTATCTAGTTGTAAACCAAGAATGAAATGAGGCATTTTGACATTGTGCCAATGCCTATCCATTTGATATTATTCATAAGATCATTGCTTTGTAGAACGGAGTACTTCCTTTGCATATTTTATTGAAATACTTCACATCATATCAACTAAGAAAGGCCAGGCCAGGTACAGACATACAAGCTCTAGAAAATTTGGCAATATAACTTAAAATCATCAAGAGTAGATCGAACATCAAATGCTAACCAATTCTAGAATCCTCAAGAATGGGTCAAACAAACATACTACATAAAATTGCATTGAAAAGTAATTTTCAAGGCTAAATAATATCAAATGTTAAACAACTGTAGGAAATTTGAAAGTAGAACGTACAAAAATTTTCCAATCGCCCTCTCTCTAGTAGAGATTAGAGTTCACAGATAGTTATATTCCTCCTTATTAAGCATGAGCATGGGTACTACTCCACTTACCTCCACATTGATAGCAAAATTCAGAGTGACACCTGAAAAAAAATAATAACGAAAATGTTTAATTAATACTTCTTATATTAGGCTTACATATTAATAAATTTATATTTCTCCGCTTAAACTTCTTATGTTACATATTACATATTAGTAGTATAAAAACAATGATAATATTCATTTCTTATATTACCTTTTTTATTGATCTTCGGTGAAATGAATCTCCAATATTGCAACATTATTATCAAAATAAAAAGTTCAGGCACAACAAACAAGAATACGAGTAATTGAAAATAATTTGTATGAATAATCGAAGAAATAGCAATTAGGTTTTACCTAAATTAATAATTAGGTTTAACAAGACTTGAATTATTTATTAGAAATAAAATTAGAATTTATATATTTTATTATACTTTATACTAATATTAAAATTAGAAAACTAACCTGCAAGTCATATGAAGACAACCCTCAGTTTTCTCAACAAAAATCTTACAATTAGGGCATCTCCTCCATGACTTATCCTTAGCAAGCTTCATCACCATTATATCCTCCTTCTCCCTCTCATCTTTCCCTAGCTCAAGAAACTCTTCGCAGCTTACGCCGTCGTGCCACGGCACTTGACACCGTGCACAAAACAATCTCCGGCAGCTCGGACACTCCGATTCCCTCACCTCCACCCCACCATCATCCACCATTAAAACAGAGCAATTTTTATATGGACAGTAAAATTTCTGACCCCCAGGGATCATTGCTTCAAATAAAACATTTTCCCACCTTACAAACACTTCTTTAGGTAAAATTGCACTGCAATTTTCTGGTTCTATTGCTTGATTGCATTTAGGATCAGGGCATTTCACTATTTCATAATTTTCCCTAATCTTCGACGCCACGTATTTGATTATACAATCAGTGCAAAATTTATGATTGCATTTGTTTAAACCATTGAAAATTTCTGTTTTTGGTTTGTAATCCATACAAATTCCACAGAAAATGGGCTTAGTTTCAGATGATTCACCTCTTTCTCTGTTTTCTTGAATGCTCTGTTTTTGGGATTTTAAACAGGAAATTTTAATGAATTGAAGGAAGTGACGAAAATGAGTAAAGAGCATCCTCTGTTTTTGGGATTTTAAACAGGGGATTTTCATCAATTGAAGGATTTGATGAAGATGAGTAAAGAGCTTCTTGAAGGTGTAATTCTTCTGCATATTTCTCATCCGATATCGGAACCGGTTCATCATTGATCAAAGCTAAAAGATAAGCTTCATCAACATAGAGATCAAGATTTGTAGAAGCCATTGAGAAATTTTACTTTTTTTATGGGAAGAAGAAAATAATTTGTTTGAATATTAATTCAAATTTATGGAGTAGTATTAGCATGTATTGATAGTAATTAAATTTGAATTGACTGATATCTTGGAAATGGTTAGTTAAGTTAAATTAAAAGGAAATTTAAACGTTTTTTTGGGCTTTCCAAATTTCAGCTTTTAGTATTTTTGGTTTTTTAATTTGTTTCCCCAAGATTTTTGGAGGATGAAAATTGTAGTAAATAAGATGTACAGTCTTCAACTTATCAACGGTATTCGATATTAGATTCCCAGTGTATTTGGCCGCTATTATGAGTTAATTCGTGGAAAGCTTAGCTCTTTTTAATTATCTTTGATAGAATACGTTGGATTTGATCAAGAGATAATGCTTTAAAGTTTAAACAGATTTTTATATATGTCAAATTGTCAATGATATTTGTTTGAGGAGTTAGTTACAATATAAAAAGATAGAATTACGATTTTTAAGCCAATACTGAGATCAATACTTGAGTATGAAGCATTGATAAATAATTATGGAGTAATATTTCTTCTATGGGAAGAAGAAAAAAGTACCAAGTAATAATGTGTTTTTTATTTTTTTCAAAGAAGAGAAATAATGTGTATTAGTGTAATTAATTACTTGATCAATTAATTAAATATAGGTATAATACGGAGTATTGGTTGGTTAGATAGAAATCATAGGATCAAAAGGTATCTAAACGGTTTTAGGGCTTTTCAAATTTTAGCTTTTCCGAGAGTAATATATATGATATGGCTGTTTTTTTTTTTTTTTTAGGAAAATATATATGGCTGTTTTAAATTGTACTCTATATCTTTTTCTTTCTTTTTTTTTCTCTTTTTTCTGGATAGGATTTTAATTTGTATCTTAATGGACGATATTTAATTATTCCCGGTTGTTGGTTAGTTAGTTATGAGCTAAAAAGATAGAACTTTGTAGTTTTGTTGATAATTAAAAAAAATCATTAATTATACGGAGTAGTAAAAATAGAGACATATTTAGTCAATGATTACTTGAGTATTGTTATATAAGGGGAAAAAAATAATTCTATGGGCATGTAGTGTTCATAAGTAAATAACTTAAGTTGCATAGATTCGAAATGTTTTTCAATTTTTTTTTTAGATGATCAAGAGTAAAAGTAATCAAATACTGAGTATACAAAATATTGTGTGATTTTCACTAAAATTATATAGTAATTGATATTGCATAGTGTTCACTCTTTTAAAATAAGGATCATATTGTAAAGAGTATATAATTGTTGGAAAATAAAATGTCTAGAACTTTGGTTTATTTTTGTCTATTGTTTCTCGGCAGATAAAAAAGAATAACTATAGGGCCAAAAATTTGCTAAGCTTAATATGATACGAATTAACGGACTTAGACCCCCTTAAGGATGCCCGTAGAGGCGTAGTGGTTTGATATCCTTGCTTGGTTCTCAGCTTTGGTAATTTGGTTAGGTCACGAAGATTAATGTATTTTTGGATATTTGTGTTTTGTATCAAAAAGTAGTAAGTTTAGTGTACATTTGTTTTTTGGGCTCTAAATCCAGTTGTGTTTGTGGGTTTTAACTGTATACTGGTTTTTGAATTTGGGCCGGTGTAAATGTGTAATAGTTCTCAAAATTCTGCCATTCCCTAATTAATTTTTTGGTATTATACAAGTGTTATATTATTTTTACCTTAAATTAACATAGAGTAATAATTTGTCCATCTCTTTCTTTACATTATCTTATACGGAGTAATTCATACTCCGTATTATTTATTGCATTATGGTTTCCATTTCAATGACTGTCTTCGTTGTACACATATTACGATCCTTTTATTTTAGTTCTCAATTCAATTATGTTGTAAAGACGAAAATCAACAAAGTATCCTTATAAGAATATTTCTGGCTAGTGTTATTATTATTATTTTAATTTGAAAGTGTCATCTTCCTTGGCTAAGTTGTAAACAGTCCTTCTATATCATTCAAAAGTCAAAATTTTAGCCCATATATAAACTAGTAGAATTACAAAAACTTATTTTTAGGATAAGTGTTTATTGTCTCCGCTTAAAAGGAAACTTAGTGCTTTAATTTGAATGTTTCCTCTTATTTTGAGGGTTGGAGGAATAGGAATGATGAAATAGAGAATAAGGCGTGATGTGAAACTGAGTTGGAAGGGTAAAGAAAGATGCATGCAAATATGGGGTAGCCAATTAGCCATGATGATGAGTGGAATATTATGATTGCATGATGGGGTCTTTATGTACCCCATACCATATTAGCATATTACATGTCCTACCACCAAAGTTGTAATTAAGTTTTCCTTCAACTTTTAACATCATTACTTAATGGTTGCCCTATACTTGATATAATATCATGTGAAAGTATGGTCAATAGTCAACACTCAAGGGTTGTCGATCTCAAATAAGGCTATGGAAATTCAAAAAGTCGATCCGAAATAATATTGAGATCCTTAAACACCCGATGTACAAATATAATATATTTGTGATTTTCTTTTGGAATGAATATAACCAACATTCACAGGAAACATCTGAATGTAATTTTTTGCCAAATCACTGCATAAAGTTTTAAAAAATTTTGGTTTATTGTTGCAAGAGGTCAGGTAGGAATCTAATCTCGAATTTTTAAAGTATCATCAAAAAATTTATCAACTACAGAGTACTCGACTGCTAGTATGCAGTAGCTAGCTAGCTAGAATTGAGAGAATTATTTAAGGCGTACTCTAACATAAGCACTAGGAAGAGGAATAATGTACTTGTATAACACTTACTAATAGTATTAGGAGAAGTGACAAAAATGTATGATCCCAAACTAAATAACTGGTTTATACTTTATAGTCTGTATGTATTACTAATATCATTGAAAATTGGCACAACACAAGTGAACAACATACAATTAGTTACTGAATTTGGTTTGTATAAGTCCACTTGCTAGTAGTGTAGCAGTAACCACAGTCACTGAGATCACTCCATTATGCACGCGAGCTGTCGTCTGTTCTGTTGTTGTTGGCGCAATTTTTGTGCTTAGGCTGACCTTTTAATTCAATGGACTACGTACTTTATTTATGTGGAAACCACTAATTTAAAGTTGGTTTTTTTTTCCTTCAATATTTATCGATTTCCACAACCCTAAAATCCAACTCTATCACATAGTGATTCTATTAGGAAGATAATCCACATGTAAATTGAGATTATTGTCGCACATTAAAAAATTAAGTACAAAAAATATGAACATATAAGATTAGTGGCCTAAACTTGTGGGTTGATTACTATTCTCTAAAATTAGAGACGACCTATAATTTTGTAGCTAGTTTATCTTAACCAATTTTGTAGGGTAGGATGAAGTAGTGAATAATCATTGAATTTATTTTCCCCTTTTCCTTTTTTGGAGGGGTTATGGTATCTAATATTGTAAAATTGGTTTTATATGTGTTCACATGTTAGAGATACACATCTTGACATCTATATCTGACTGGATGAAAACAAACATAATAATTGTAGGTAGATAATTGCACCCGTGTTATTTCACAAGAATATTCTCACAGAAAGTTAGCCAAATTTTTCCAGGATTCAATCAAGAATCAAATAATAAGAGGACTAAAGGAAATCCTCTTCCATGATTTCATGCTGCCTGTATCAAACAATTCATAAATATTGCAAGAAGATGAATATTCTCTCGAAATGTAAAGCATTCCTAATGAGAACTTATGAATTTGTAGGAGTGATCTTGTACAAAATACTCCCACGAATATACGTGTTAATGTAAGAAGTACAGAGTATTATCACTCCCACGAGTACGTGTAATGTAAGAAATACAGAGTATTATCGTTCAAAGTAGTCCTAATCTGAATATTTTCGTAGTAATTACTTAATTAATTAACAGTGTCACTCTGATGCAGTACACACTACACACCAGCAGTGGCGCAGTGCTCAACAAGATTAGATGCATGAGTAATTCAGATAAGCATATATAATTTCAGAATCATAGTAACTACTTTCTGTTGAAAACATTCTTGAAACGTTGGGACAAACAGACCAAGCCAATTGTCCACATTTAACAAATTGGTGAAAAGCACTAACTTAATACACAGTAAATTGCTATTATATACTCCCTCTGTCCCTTTATATTTGCCCCATTTGACGTTACGCGATCTCCAAGACATGTGTTAAAACGTTTATATCTCAATTTTTATATACATAAAAATTATAAAAAGTAAATATTAATTAAATTTATAATGAGACGAACCAAACAAAATCTCACATGACTATAGTTCCTTTGGTTGAACAATGGAAATTTATGGTCAAAGTTATCAAAGTTATGGGCAAACAAATAGAGACAGAGGGAGTACTTGTATACAGTTATCTTATTACACTATGCATATCATTACTTTAATTGTTACCTTAATAATTCAAATTATACATTTAACATGACAATTAATTTCAAACACGCCACTACATGACCTGTTGAAATATTCGAGCCAAAAAGACACAAAAGAATTATTTGAAAGTGAAATTGTTAAACCCAAAGTAAGATTAAAAACAACTAAAAAGGAAACACAAGATCCCACCTACAATTAACAATCACACTATACACACCCCACTTCACCAGTCCACCACACTACTCAAATTTTCCTAATTTCTTTCAACCTCATCATATAAACCCAAAAAAATTCATGCACCCTCATTTCTTTATACCAACCAAAAATGCAAATCTCTCTGCTTTTTTTCCTCTCCATTTTCTCTCTCCTCTTTTCCCTCCCAATACATTCATTTCCAACCGCTTCAAAACTTGAACAAAGAACCTTCATCATTAGTGTTAATCACCATGTGTTCCTACTCACTTTCACTGGTATCAAGCTTCATTAGACTCATTATCCTCCCATCCTCCTAAACAAGTTCTTCATACGTACGATACCGTTTTCCATGGCTTCTCCGCTCAGCTTACTAACGCTGATGCTGATATCCTGTCGAAACAATTCCACATTCTTTCGCTTATACCCGAACAAGTCCGGTCCCTTCACCCCACTCGCTCGCCTCTTTTCCTCGGCCTCGAACCCTCCTCGACTAACACCTCGTCATTGCTCGAGGAGTCTGACTTTGGGTCTGACCTTGTTGTCGGTGTCATTGACACCGGTATATGGCCTGAACACCCAAGCTTTAACGACCGTGGTCTAAATGCTATTCCTCTAAAATGGCGTGGGTTTTGCCCTAGTGACTTCCCTTGTAATAAAAAAATTATTGGGGCTAAGTTTTTCTTTGAAGGGTATGAGGCTACTAATGGAAAGATGAATGGCTCTACAGAGTTCCATTCTGCACGAGACTCCGACGGACATGGTACACACACTGCCTCTATCGCCGCAGGGAGATATGTCGTCCCCGCGGACACCCTAGGCTACGCTAAAGGGGTTGCCGCGGGGATGGCTCCCAAGGCGAGGTTGTCAGTGTACAAAGTATGTTGGACCTCAGGGTGTTACGACTCGGATATTCTCAAGGCATTTGATGAAGCTGTCAAAGATGGTGTGGATGTTATATCATTATCAGTTGGTGGTGTAGTAGTTCCATATTATCTTGATTCTATTGCTATTGCTGCTTTTAGGGCTGTACAAAATGGGGTCTTCGTATCGGCCTCGGCCGGTAATGGTGGGCCCGGGGGCTCGTCGGTGACGAATGTAGCCCCTTGGGTGACTACTGTGGGTGCAGGATCAATTGATAGGGATTTTCCTGCGGATGTAGTGCTAGGAAATGGGAGGAGGGTTCCTGGGGTGAGTGTTTATAGAGGGCCCGACGGGCTTGAGCCCGGTAAGTTGTACCCGCTAGTGTATGCGGGTAGTAGGGAGGGTGGTGGAGGAGGTGGTCAAGGGTATTCGGCTTCGTTGTGTTTAGAAGGTTCGTTGGATCCGAATATGGTTAGAGGTAAGATTGTGTTGTGTGATAGAGGGATTAATTCTAGAGTGGCTAAAGGAGAGGTGGTGAAAGAAGCGGGTGGAATTGGTATGATTTTGGCTAATGCTGTGTTTGATGGGGAAGGGTTGGTGGCTGATTGCCACGTGGTGCCCGCCACCTCCGTTGGGGCCGCTAACGGGGATGTTATCCGAAGGTACATTGCCGATAATTTGAAGCGGTCGGCTATGCCAGTGGCTACGATTGTGTTCCGAGGGACCCGGGTCGGGGTTCTGCCCGCCCCGGTGGTGGCTGCGTTCTCGGCCCGTGGGCCGAACCCGGAAACACCGGAGATACTCAAGCCGAACTTGGTTGCGCCCGGGTTGAATATATTGGCATCGTGGACCAATTGGGTTGGCCCGTCGGGCTTGATTACGGACCGGCGAAGGGCGGAGTTTAATATATTGTCAGGGACGTCGATGGCATGCCCGCATGTGTCGGGCCTTGCGGCCTTGCTTAAGGCGGCCCACCCCGATTGGAGCCCGGCCGCTATCCGATCTGCCTTGATGACGACGGCGTACACCCTCGACAACCAAGGCGGCATCATGAAGGACGAGTCTACCGGGAACGAGTCCACGGTGATGGATTTCGGGGCAGGTCATGTCCACCCTCAAAAGGCCATGGACCCAGGTTTGGTCTATGACCTTACAACTTATGATTACATAGACTTCCTTTGCAACTCCAATTACACAACTAGCAACATTGAGCTCATAGCCCCAAAAAAGGCCAATTGCCAAGGTGCAAAACGGGCAGGTCATGTGGGTAACTTAAATTACCCCTCAATCTCATACGTTTTTGTACAATATGGACAACATAAGATGTCTAGTCATTCAATCCGAATAGCTACTAATGTAGGGGATCCAAACTCAGTTTATCGGGTTAAAATCTTCCCACCCACGGGCACAAATGTGACCGTGGAACCCGAGCAGCTCAGTTTTCGACGTGTTGGTCAGAAACTAAACTTCTTGGTTAGAGTCCAAGTCGAGGCCATACCACTATCAGCAGGATCATCCAACACAAGAAGTGGTGCAATAATATGGTCTGATGGTAAGCATACTGTCACAAGTCCTTTAGTTGTAACAATGCAACAACCACTATAGGTATTTGTAGCAGTTCTTGTTAAATGTAACATTTTTAAGTAATATTTTTGGCTCAGAATCATAGAACTTTTGATGTATAAAAAAAAATGGAAGTGTGAGTTTGAGTGAGTACAATTATGAGAATCTCTGCAGGGTGTTTTCCACTTCAGAAAACAAGTGAATGAAGAGGAGTATCTTGAATGTTGTAACAGAATCTATAATATTATTAGTATATGAATTTTGTACAAGTATAATTATTAAGCTTCTTTTTTTAAGTGTATAAAATTCATTAGAAGAGACAGCAAAAACAAAACATAGGAAAAAACAAAATACTGTGGGTTTCATGTGTTGAATTTAATTTAATGGAGCTTTGTTTTTTGTGCATATAAATTTGTTGATGGTTATGTAGCAGTGGTAAGTTTGGTGGAGTGGAGTATTGGCTGGCTTCTTCTGCTTGAACAAAACTACATTATTTGGCTTAGCATTGCATGTGAATAAACTAGTACTAGCATTAATAACAAATATCATAGGTTGAGGACCAAGAATTTACACTAGTACTAACTTACATGCATAAAGTCTCCTTGAATACAGTAACAATTACGCAAATAATAAGGGACGAAATGTTTATACCTTTGCTCTTATAGTGAGTAAACTGTATTCAAAAGTGTGGAGGAAATGGCTCGAGCCAATGTTCAAGTACCAGGCACTACGGCGCTGAAGTGTTCAGTACAAAGGCCAAAGAACAAACAATGAAATCCTTTATCAGAGTTTTGGGTTATATTGATCAGAAGACAGGAGGAGGTCCACTGAACAAAGACTATAGAAACTAGCTAGAAGAAAACATGGACAATTGAAGGTGTTGAATATTCAAAATTTCAACTTTTTTTGAAGTGTCAAAGTAATTAGTAGTAAGCATATCTTAAAGCTGTTATTATATTAAAGTAGTAATAGTTATCCATTAATAAACAGGTTTAACAGTATGGTATGAACTTTTATGATATTGTTGTTTCTGGCATCTTTATTCCTGATAAACTGGTAAAAGGGGGCCTAGTCTCTAAATCTAACCTTTCATGTAAAATAAAGGACCAATAATTGCTGTCACTTTGGTAAAGGGGTCCTAGATTCACATTTAAGAAGTAGACCTTACATGTCTCACCCTTGTTTTTTTTTATTTGTATCTTCATTTTGGAAAGAGTAAGTTTAAGAAACCTAAACTACTGCATTTCTTATGTACTTTAATATATACGGAGTAATGGAATACATAGTAAGTTTTTTCTTCTCTACTTTGTGCTTGTTATGATTCTTTCTCATCAAATGAGCATATTTTGCACAAGAACTTACAAATTACATTTATAGGTTAAATTTCTAACTATTTATCTAGCATTCTAGCCCATTAGATAGAGTCGTGTAATTTCCAAATATTTCTCAAACATTAAGTTTTAAAAGACAGTAATAGACTAATAGATACATTAAGGCAATGTAGCTAATGTTTTCCTTTTCTTACCTTTATTTTTTTTGAAAATAGATAACTATGTAGCTAGTAAGGGGCTGGGCCAAAACCAGGATCAAAAGGCCCATAGTGAACAATTTTTCTAACACATACTGTATAAAAAAATTGTTACATGCCACATAATATGCAACACTAAAATAATGATAAGTAGAGATAAAAATCGGGTCATTTGAGTCGGGTCAATTTGATTCTATTGCCAATATGATTATTTTAATAAATTGATCATTTGTGTCAAAAAAAAAAATTGATCATTATAAAAAACACTTATTACTAAGTCGGGTCGGGAATGGGTATAGATCATGGAGAAAAAATATTTTGGGTAGAGTTCAGGGTATATCGGGTATGGGTCAGCTTGCCAAATCTAGTGATGGCATATTAAAATGATGGCTGGGCCCATCAACATCATAGCGTACATATGTACCGTAGAATATGGGCCTAATTTAAGGCTGCAATTGATGGAAAGCCATGTGGTCAGATAAGCTTGTTAGGGAGCTTTGTGATCGGACCATTAGCCTTTGAACTCTTTTAGTAAGATCCAATGATGGCTGGGCTTATTAATATGCACCCAATTATTTCTTTTAATGTAAAATAAAATTTTATCTCTCCTCTTGCATACAATGCAAATTTTAAAGAGACAAATTATGAGTTTTTTTTTTTTTTTTTTTTTTTTTTTTTTTTTTTTTGACAAACTCACTGTTTTGGACAGTTTTGGTCTTATTGTAAGTAGTGATATTTTAGCTATTGAGGCTAATCTAGCATGATATTTTAGCTGAAGGCTAATGAGATATCAGAAGTTTGTCAAACTCAAATATAACATATGATTTTTCATAATTATCATTATCTAGATTGATTAATTTACAAACCTTCATGTGCAAGAACCAAGAAACACATTTTAAAACAAAAATAAATATATGAAGAACTTTTTTTGTAATATACTTTAAAATAATACAAATGGATTCCCTGGTCAGTGACTTTTTGTTGGCAATTTGGCATTGATAAATGGATATAACCAAAGTTGAAGGGCGTGTGACCTTTCCTAAAACGTGTGAGTTTGGCTTTTCTAGATTTTCCGTACGTTTTTTTCCGGCTAAAACGAAACCGTTGCTTTCGTATTAGTGACTAACACTCGTATGTTTTTCTCTAACATTGACTAATTGACCGATACGGTGAACCTGATTATCGATGTCAACCTCATAAATTAGCTGTTAAATCGTTGCATCTTGCATGATCTATCTAGGCTCTATGAGAAGATATTATGTGAATCAAACTCACAATAAGAGAGAATAAGTTATAAGACATTTTGTATAGAGTATAAGTTTTAGAACACCTCAATTTTTATAATTTAGATATAAGTATATAGACATATTATGTAAGTATTTGAAATATTCATACAAATTATTGGCACATATATATTAATTTTGGGTGGGTAGACTCACAGTATAATGAACCCACCAAATACTTTGTGTTTACCTTACTAACTACTATACATGATACGGTTTCCAATCCTCACGCTTGACAATTACTCAGAGTAATATTATACTTGTATTTTAATAATTAAAGAGTAAACATTATACTAAATCTTATGATATAGGCTACATATAAACATTTAATATATTTATAATTGATATTTCGTTCAGTTCATACTTAGGAATGCATAATGAGAATATTACATGTCAACAATCAGTGTAATTTAGTAATAATTTACAGAGAATTTCATTTATTATTACTTCGTATCATTTTTAGCCCCTGCCCTTATAATATACTACGTATATATATATAACAATTAGGATTTTATAAGTAAACATGAAAAGTTATACTAGTATAAGAAAAATATACAAAGTACATGAAAATATGGATGATCAACTAGCTTTATAACTTACTTAGTTAAAATCTTGAGTGCCGATATTTATTAGGATTTGAGATAAAATCTCGTTTACATCTATTGTCAATATGACTCGCCAACGCTCTTAGGAAAAAAAAAATGAAAATACCAAAGCAAAAATCTAATATATATATATATATATATATATATATATATATATATATATATATATAAATTAGGCATTTTTGGAGAGCATTTGGAGCGCCACGTAAGAAATATACTTATTTTGACCAATAAGAAGAAAGATTTGTATTTTATTTTTGAATTAAAAAATTATATCGCCACTTAGATAAAAGTAACGAATTAGATTTGATATATCTAAAATTTTAATGCCACGTAAATTATAATACACGAATTAAATTATTTTAATGAAAAAAAATAAAGTAAAAATATAGGAAAAGATAAATTTATTAATTTAATACTACGAGTATAAGAAATCCAAAAAAAATATACTAAAAAATATTTAAATGATAAACGCTTATAATAAAGTTTGATACCTATCATTATAAGATGAATTTTGATAATATTTATGATAAGAAATACAAATTGTTCGTTAGTTATATTTAAATTAAAATTTGTAATACCTAATATTATAAATTGACACATCATACGACACAAAAAAATTTCGTATCAATAAAAAATCCCATCAAACGAATTTTGTGTTAGTAATTTTGTATTAATTTTTGATCATCAATGGCCGGGTAATTTTTAGCTTAATTTTTAAAATCCTATGTTTAAATTAGTATTTCTAATTATTACTTACATTGTATTAATTTGGGATACTCAACGATTATGTATTTAAATTTTATTTACTACATGTTTTTTTACATGCAAATCTAACACATCATACGACACAATTAAAATTTCGTATCAATACAAAACCCCATCAAGCGAATTTTGTGTTAGTTTTAGGTCATCAATGTCCGGGTAATTTTTAAAATCTTATGTTTAAATTTATATTTGTAATTATTAGTTACATTGTATTTATTTAGGATACTTAACTATTATCTTTTTTATGTAATGACATACGATTAGATGTTGTATACTTAATATATGGATGGCTTTGGTTATTTTTTGGAGATGATGAAAAAATTCCAATGCATAGATTTGATTTTATATCACAACAATTTTTCATTTATTGACAAATATATTGATTTATTTTATATAAATGTAAAGATTTAATTTATATCAATTTCATTTTGGCAAACATTTCACGGTTCAATTTATCCATTGATGTAGTAGGTTGGTTGTGGACGAGGTTGGTGATTCTATCGAAATAAAAGATATGGTAAAACAATGAATAATGATTTAGGATTTAAATTATTAAAAATTTATCATTTCACATCAAAGATTTTATATAACGGAAAAAAATATCATATTTACAATTTATTTATATTTAATAAATTCATTATTTTTTTGTCTTAAATTATTAAATACAATAAATTAAATAATTAAAAATCTTAGATGAAAAAAACCGTACACCGCACGGGCTTCCATCTAGTTTGTTTTTATTTTAGTTCCATCAACTTAAATTCCTATTGTTTTTTTTAATCCTTTCATTTACAATTTATGTAGTCAAACTTTTAAAATCTTTACCCGTCTTTAATAATTAGAGATGTCGATAAGAAAGAACATATATGTCGGATCTTGTTATATTTTTGTTTCAATTTATAAATCAAAAGCTAGATGGTTAAATGTTGAGTGTGGACATTGGATAAACCTCAAATAATTCTATAGTTTATTTCCTAGATTTATTTTTTTTTAATTTAATTCCATCAACTTAAAGGACCAGGCCACGTACTATATCAAGTTGCCCACTTGTACTCATGGACCTTGGACCCATACACGCATCTTAATAGAAGTATATGATGGATCCCATGATTAATTATGTAATAGTTTCTGAATTTATCCCTAGAAGTATGATTGAAGTTAGATAGTTGCACATAGTATATACATTTTGGGTAATAATCTATCTTTTTTTCTCATGAAATTAATAGCGTTACAACGCCAATCTTATCTAACCAATTACTATTAAACCCAAAAACGAATAAATAAACAGAAAAGAAGAATATGTCATAGAAAATTAAAGATAAGAATTGCAAAAGATGTTGACATGCATAGGTTCAAGTGTTCAACTTGCAGTAGCAATACTTAGCTTATTGATAATCATTGACTTAGGACACGTAAATTTAAGTGCTTCAAATCTCTATTATACAACCTAAATAAAGCTGATTAATATAATACTGTATGTTAGCTCGAGAGGCAAAGTTGACGATCGAGTAGATGGGTATTAAAGAAATACTACGTATGTTCTGTACTGTGTTAAACAGTACATACATATAACAAGTGGACTAGCTTCATGCCCTTTAATCAATAAACATACGGAGTTATATAATACGGAGTACTACGTATGTTTTTATATACGACTATACAAGTATTATATTATATTGTCTATGTACTGTATATTAATTTTAATTAAGTTCGCTATAAGATTACACGATAGGGTACAGTTTGACACGAATATTAAAATTGTACAACATATATGGTTGAAATATACGAGTAATTAGTTAGATAGTCAAATACCATAGATGATTCAATTCGATAAGATGCATTAGGTGTTCTCAAGGATAGAAAGGGAGAGTATATAATTAAAAACAATTAATGAGATTTGTGCTGTGTTTTTTTTTAACTTAAGAACAAAGGGATTGTGACAGAATCTAAGATATACGACCCATAACAAGGAAACAAGTACACGATCGATCGATAAAAGGTTTGATCGAAGAGTATATTATCATTTTGCTGTGTGTGGAATAAATACTTAAGGCAATATATATAGCCATATAAAAAGAAAAAATTATATACATATATAAAAATCATTGTTAATATTAGATTGTATGAAACTCCTCGATCAGAGTTATTTTTATTAATCAATACGGAATATTTCACGTACTATATGTATGTACTCTTAGCAGATGACTTAAGAGAAAATGATGAGGATCATTGATAATGATTGCTTTTTATCTATTCTCAATTTTGTTTCATTTCCTTGGTCCAGAGTTAATTTTTTTCCTACACTTCATCTAACTGAATTTTTAAAAAATACTTATAATACGTACGGAGTAATAAATAATAATTGTGCCCTTTCCCGGTCCTTTCCCGGTCCCCCCTTATCCCCTCCTCTCTCCTTGATCTTATTGTACATTTATGTGTACTAACACTAATTTGTTATAAGAAGTACATTTTTTTGTTGTTGCATCTTGCATGTAAAGCTTGTGGGAGAGTTATCCCCTCCATCTAGCTAGATTCGGAGATCAATACTTACTACTTTGAACACTTTAAAGATCACTATCAATAAATACTAATTCTGGATAACGAGAGTATTATATACAAGCATAAACTTGAGCCGAGGTTTATGTAGTCAGTTCACCATAATCCAAATAGACGAAATATATAACATTAGGCTTGTTTAGTTGTATATGAGAAGTAATAATAGAAAATATTTCTCCCACCTTATAATATGAGTAGTTTATATAAGGATTTTCAATTGTTATTTGTTAAGTTTTTACTTTGCACGGAAGGTTATAAACTTAAGATATAGTGTTTATGATTTTTGTCCTCACTTATTCGACCCTATCAATTCAAGTGATCGACGTACCATGGTACGTTCTTATGGTTAGAGTTGTTCAGAGTGTGGTATAGATCGCACCAAATCGCAAACTAAATCGCAATTTTGCGATTTGGTGTGGTTTGCGGTTTAAAAATTGCAAAGCGGTTTCTGAAAATGACCAAACCGCGGTTTTGCGATTAGGTGCAGTTTCCAAAAAAATTTAGACCAAACTGCACCGCAAACCGCATCAATAGACCATCAAACCGCAAACCGTTAAACCATTTTAATACTATTTCTATTGAAAATTCATAAAATAACTTTAAAATATATTGTAATCTTTGATTATTAGCTAATTAAAAGTTAAAAGAGTTTAATATTTTAATTATAAGTTAATAATTACAAAATAAAACAAAAGTTTTCTTTTGAAAAATAAATATTTATAATTTTTAAAAAATGTGGCTAAACCGCAAACCGCAACGCACCAAATCGCATTTTGCAATGCGGTTTGATGCGGTATGGTTATAAGTGCGGTTTGAAAAAAATGCAAACCGCACCGCAAACACCCCTACCTATGGCTCGATATCAAAGAGTCGATGATATTTTGTTTAGACTATCTATGTAGGGAGTTATGCGTATACTCTCGATCTATTTCATTCATTCTTAACCCAATATATATAATTTTAGTTTTAATTATTAATTTAAAAGTCTTCTCCGATACGCAGTTACGTAACTATGCTAATACTATTAGTCGTTAATCATGTATATTATACCGTAGTAAGTGTCATAGCTTATTTTATTTACCACTTTACCTTTATATAAGTACTCGCATGCATCCATTAAAAGTACCACAAATTTTCATACCCCGTACCAAATAACAGTACACTACACAAAATTGAATCATCATCAATTAATAGTGATCAATAAGATAACCTACATTTGTGGTTCAACCCGCAAACTCGCTTACACGTATACTACATGTACAATACGTGCTTCAAATCCAAATGCAAAAGCAGTTGCAAGCAGATGAACACACGCAATTGGGGGTTGCTAAGCAACTGAATACGAGTAAAATACTCCGTAGTAAGAAGCTTTAGCAATCCCCAATCTCGTTCACCCTTTCCCTTAATTAACAGGGTTGTGTGGTCTATTTTATATTTTTCTGCGTTACTATTATGACCATATATGATAGACAAAACTGGCCGCAACACTCTGAATTACGGCTTAGGTGCACTGAGCACCCTGAACTTTGCGTAGTAGTCAAAACACCACCAACTATGGTGTTAGGTGCAACGCGTGGCATAAATGAAAATTTCCGGCAATTTATTTCACCGGGAGGAGGTGAATCTTCACTCTCTAGAACAGTTATGTAGTCTTCCATCCACTTAACAAGCATGGATTCACCTCCTCCGATGAAATAAGTGGCCGGAAATTTTCATTTAAGGCACACGTCACATCTAACACCATAATTGATGGTGTTTTGACTACTACGCATAGTTCAGAATATTCAGTGCACCTAAATCATAGTTCATGATGTTGTGGCCAATTTCGGCTATATTATAAGAGTATGGACCTTATACTATACGACCAGTAAATAATGTGATGATGGCCTAAATAGTTGACCAAAGTGGGCCCATAAAATTCTTTCTTGTTAGCTTTTGTTGTGGTCTTTACCTTTCTCTGTCTTCTTTTCCCAACTAACAGCAGATTTTGGTGCATGCATCTTCCTATCTTTTCAATTCAATTCTACCTCTTACTTTTCAATTTTTACTCCCTCATATAATTTTTACTCTTACCCGGTTAAATAAAGGAATATTCTTTAAAATAGTACGGAGTACAAACTCATACGATTACTCGTATTAACATCAAGATTTATTTAAAGAGTTGGAATTAATTTGATTTAAGAAATAACATTGTACTCCCTTCGTATTTTATTACTTGTTTTATTTTTTTATGTGTGGAGTTTTAGGAGAAATAATAAAACTAAAAGTACGTAGTAATAAAATTTGATGAAAGTGGGATTGGTGGAAGAATAGAAAAAACTTAAAAAGCAAAAGTAAGTATATGAGGGAAGGAATTCAAGGAAAGAGAACATGAAAAATATTAAAAGACGACATGTGAAGACCACTAGTGGAGATGAAAATAGTAAAATATTGTTCAAAGTTTCAAAAAAAAGAAATAAAACAAGTAATAAAATACGGTCGTAAAAGGAAAGTGGAGCAAGTAATAAAATACGAAGGGCGTAGTTTTTTTTTTTTTTTTTTGTGTGAAAAGTTAAAAATATTATTAAAATGAAAAGGTCCAAACCAATACAAGCTACCAAAACTGGCAACACCAAAACAGAAACATCCCCTCCTATACTCTCTATTTGTAGATCAGATTCTTGAACCAATCTACATTTCTCTTACTAGTTTTATCAGGTATTACAAAATCTATTCTGTGCTTAACATCAACCAAGAGCTCCTTAATAACTATCTCAGGCCTTCTAATACACTTGTCCCAAACAGCTCGATTCCTCTCTTTCCAAATAACATACAGCAGCCCTACATATAAGCTTTGGATAACCTGTCTTCTGAACCTTCCTAGAATCTGTCCCAATTTCTCATTACAGTCTTCAAGAGTACTAGGACTCATCTGAATATTCAGGCTCTGAGCTAGAACCTTACAGCAATTAACTGAGTAAACACACTCAAAATACAGATGCTCAACTGTTTCATCTGCATTATTGCATGAGGGGCAGCTGGCATCAACACTCACACTTATCCTCTTAAGAAACTCTTTAACTCCGATATTTTTTCAGAGAATCATCCAGCAAATGAACTTATGCTTGGGGATATTAAATTTGTTCCATACCTAATCACACCAGGGAACATGATCATGATGCTGAGAGAGCCATTTATAACCACTAGCAATTGTGTAACCCTTCCTATCTTCCTTCCAATTATTACCAGTATAACCACTCTTCATCTGAACTCTCACCCACCAGATTTGTCTCCAGTTCCAGCTAGCACTATTAGGACACTTGAACCTCTTCCAACTCTTCCCTTTTCATTAACCCATTTAAGCCATAAGTTATCCTGTTTCTGAGCAATATTCCATATCTGCTTCCCAAGTGCAGCAATGTTCCAGATCTTATAGTTTTGAATCCCTAACCCTCCCTGCTTTTTACTCCTACAGACAATATCCCAGGCAATAGGAGGGGACTTTGTATAAACAGCTTTCCTAGTCCATAGGTAATTTCTATATATAGCAGCCACCCCATCAATCACACTCTTAGGAAACAAGAAGATAGTAGCCCAATAAATGTGCATAAACATCAGCACTGAGTTCACAAGCCGAGCTCTACCAGCATAAGACAAGGTCCTACAACCCCAAGTTCTGACCCTGCTTGTAATCTTGTAAATAAGGAATTGACAATCATCCTTAGCCAACTTCTTAGCACTCACATTGATTCCCAAGTATCTGAAAGGAAGAGAACCTTATTTAAAACCAGAGCTTCTAATAATTTCCTCCTTAATGTCCTTCTCTACATTACAGCAACACAAGTTTGACTTCCCTTCATTGGCAACCAAACAAGAAGCTGTTGCAAATGTAGCTAAGCTTCTAAGAATAAGACCTACTAAAAATAATCATATCATCTGCAAAAACCAAGTGATTCAGCCTCAATGTTTTGCATCTAGGGTGGAACTTAAACCTCCTATGCATCCCAACTTGACCCAAAATCCTAGATAAGTATTCTATACAAAGAACAAAAGGCAAAGGAGACATTGGATTCCCTTATCTCAACCCCCTTTTTCCTTTAAAAAAGCATGTCAAACTCCCATTTATGACCAAAGAAAAGGAGGCTGAAGTTACACAACTCATAACAAGCATAATGAACTTCTCAGGGAACTTCAAAGCCTTTAACATTTCTTCCAGAAGCTCCCATTTCATAGAATCATATGCCTTTCGAATGTCAACCTTGAGCAAACACCCAGGAAGAGAGTTCTTTCTGCTATATCTAGCCACTATATCCTGAACAATACTTATGTACTAAACAATCTATCTTCCTTTAACAAATCGAGCCTGGTTCTGAGAAATAAGCCAGGGCAAAACAATCTTCAATCTATTACAAATCATCTTTGTAATGCACTTATACAGCACATTACAACATGCTATAGGTCTGAACTCTGTCACAGAAGTAGGATTTTCAACTTTAGGAATCAGGGTCAAAGTGGTGCAATTGATCTCTTTCAACATCTTGCCATTCTCCATAAACTGTAAACTAGCATCAGTCACCTCCTCACCAATAACACTCCAAGCATGCTTGAAGAAATTACTGTTATAGCCATCCGGACCAGGAGCTTTATCCCCAGGGATAGAGAATAAAGCACTCTTCAATTCACATCCTGTCTACTAAAAGGAGCACACAACATATCAGCCTACTCTTTTGAGAGAACATTCCCTTGTTGAACAATCTCGTCTTTCACACACACCCTATCACCATCATTAGTCCCAAGCAGAACCTTATAATACCCAACAAAAGCATCAGCTGTCTTCTCAGGATTATCACACCAATTCCCATCTCTTTCATTTATAGCAATCACCCTTGACTTATACTGTCTCTGCTTCATATAGTTGTGAAAAAATCTAGTGTTATTATCCCCAACTTTAAGCCAATTAATCTTGGCTCTCTGGGAGATAAAAGAGAAATACTGATTTTTCACCATCTTGAAATCCTTTAATAGCTGCCTCTCAATTTCCTAAGCATGAACATTTGACTGATCATTCTGCAAAACAAGCTGAATATTCTCAATCTCATGCTTGAGCTTAAAATACTTAAGCTCAATTTCAGTACAATATTTTCTATGCAGCTTTTTCAACTCAACTTTCAGAAGTTTGAGTTTCTTCACCACTCTGTACATATGAATACCATGTATATCAGTATCCCAAGCATGCTGGACAATAGACAAGAAATCTGAGTGCATGGACCACATATACAGATATTTAAAAGTCCCTCTCTGAGTATGGCCAGAACTATCCAACTGAATAATAGCTGGGCTATGATCGAACCAGGACTCGGGCATATAGTTCACATAGGAATCAGGCATATTATTGACCAACATTCATTCATTAAGGTCCTATCAGTCCTACTCACCACCCTACTTCCTCCATCTTGCTTATTATTCCAGATAAAAGAACAACCAACTTTCTTCATATCATAGATCTCACATTTCTGGACACAATCTCTAAATTGCATCAATTCAGAATAAGTGATGGGGTTCCCAATTCTATCTTCATAGTTCAAGGGTCAGTTAAAGTCCCCTAAGACCACCCAAGATCCTGTTATTCTTACCCCAATATCACAAATATCAGCCCGTAATAACTCTCTCTCTTTAGAATCATTCATACCATATACAATAAAGCACCAGAAATCCATCCTCAAGGCAATATTAGTAACCTTAAGATGAATTAACTACGAAGTAACTCTAAGAACTTGCACCTGGAAGAACAGAGGAAGCCAAGCCACCAAGATTCTTCCACCTTTAACCAGGGTTAAATTTGAAGTCACACACCAGCCCTGTAACATCCCATTATACAAACGAAAGTTACTGGGTTTTATTTTTGTTTCCAAAACACCACACAATCCTATCTTCTGCTTGAACAGAAAATCCTTGATTTCCTTCTGTTTTGAGAGGCTATTGAGACCTCTCACATTCCAAATAAGTATTCTATTCATCCTCACCCCCGCCAGGAGGCAAATCTCCAAGCCCAGCTCCAAAAACGAGTGCATCATCACCTTGTAATCTCTCAAAGGAATTACAAACTTGCACAACATTATCACCATTAGACCTTGACACCTTCCCTGAATTAATTCTATTCTTAGGAGTTGCTCTAATCCATCCCTCTTGAAGATCAGTATCTTGTTCACCCTCTCCCATTGTAACAGGTTTAGCTACTTGTTGCACATTTCCACCAGAAACCACTTTTGGCCTCTAAACTTTCTTCACCTTATTGCATCTTTTTGTAATATGTCCCATCTGCTTACACACCTCACATCTAATTGGTTTCCATTCAAAAATACATTCATCTGAACAACACTACCAGTCTCCGACATGAATTTAATCCCATCAAGAAAATCCCCATTAATATCCATTTCCACCAAGAATCTGACATAATTCACTTTCTCCTTCATCAGAGTAGCATTATCATGCCTGATCGGAGTGCCAATTAACCCAACAATCTTTTCTAAGCAAGATTTACCCTAATATTTCAAAGGTAGCCCAGGAATTTGCACCCATACAGGAACCTTGGTAATATCCTCAGAATTCAACTCCATTCCATCTACCCATTGCTTCATGAAGACCGGATGGTTATCAAACAATACATGAGTCGAATTTAGAGCTTTTTCTTTAGATTCAGAGTTCAAAAAACGAATAAGAAATACTCCTTGTTTCAAGGGAATCACCTTATCAATTTTTTTCACCCCCCACATTCTCTTACAAAAACCCGAAAAAGCATTCACATAAGGATTAGCCCTAAACACATAAGCAACAATACCCAGATTCCAGTATGCAAGTTCATCAGAAACATCATCAATTGATAATTGCAACATAGGTTTAGCAATATAACTTAGTGGATTAGCCTGGTCAATGTTTATCTTCAACCATTAACATCTTAATTGTTAATAATAAAGAATGATATATAAGAAGTGTTAAATTAACATTAAACTAACAAGACCTTACATGATTATTTTCAAAAATAAAAAAAATAAAAACTTGCATGATTATGATTATCTTTAATAAAAAAACACTATCAGTAACAAATATTATATTGCTAAGTGTATGAGCAATACAAATCTACGAGAATTTCCTTTAAAAAAAAATATGAAATATTAACAAATTTTCTAATTTAAGAATTGGCAAATTAGCATATATTGAGCGATTTGAGCCCTTGCAATATTGCGTCAAGAAACTATTTGTACGGTTTAGTGAAGGTGTTTAAAAGTCCGACCACATTCTTTTACCACGACGGAAGCAATACAAAGAAATTCAAACAGTCAAATGCATATAATCCTACGTATGAATTTGATAAGAATTTGGTAAACATATGAAACATGTTAATTACTCGTTTAATCTGCACAACAACTACACTTCATATGTACTCCTATATTGTGGAATCATTGTCACTTTTTTTTTTTAAAAAAAAACCTCATCCTTCTGTTTTTAAACATTTGTTCCATTTGAAATCTTGAGAAATTCCATGAAAAATGAAATCCAGCAATTCCGATATAATCTTTTGTACTTCAAAACATGGTCATAATGTAAAGTTTTACCCCATTCAATTCACCAGAGTTTAGCTCCAACTACATCCGAATCTGACTCAGATCGCACACCTGACTTATGAACATGTCGTTTTAGTTTAATTTAAGTGAAACAATTGTTGTTATTATTATTATTATTATTACCACCTCTGTTAATTATTATGTGCAACTTTTGAATTAGCAATAATTAATGGAAATAGTTGTTTAAATTGCGTCCAATAAGTTTGTTTTCCAATAAGTTCAATCAAGCCTAAAAAATAAAATAATTAAGTATAATCAACTCTGATAGTATAGATTCCAATAAGTTAAATTAGGTTTATTAAGTTTCAATCAAGTTCAATAATTCATTTAGTTTCAAGTCCAGTGAGGTTAATTAAAAGAACACACCCTTATTTTAGGGTCATCTTAACCCATGAGTAAAATGGATGACAATGATAAAAGAAATTCATCGTCTCATAAAAACTCTAGAGAGTCCTAATGCTCGTATGCTAACTTATGCTATTGTTAATAATCTGAATTAATTAATCTAATTAAATACTATAATAAGGGTAGTTTGAACTAGCTATTTAGATAAACTAGATTAGTGTCCATGCGATGCACGGTAGTAATAATTTTTTTTTCCCATAATTAATTTGTGAAATAATATAAAAATAAGGCAACTCATGTAGAATAAACAATACAACGCATATAAGAAAGATGAAATAATAAGGCAAAATTTTTTTAAAACTACAATTGAGAAAAAAATAAATTATTTTTGATTAGTTGTGTGTTGAAAATATTTAAAAATAGTATACATCATATTACATTAATGATGCATATTATTCCCAATAAAACTATCAATGTTGATGTCGTATGACTTTTTATTAATGAGTTAGTTTAGTTCAAAAAAAAAAAAAAAAAAAAAAAAAAAAAAAAAAACCTATACAATGTACTTCCAAAAAATAAGCTAAGTAGAATAATTATTTTTTTGAAAAAACTTAATGATGACATCATATATTATATTGGCGGGAAATTTTTTAATGATAGATTGGCATAGGTCCAAAATGATCGAGGTAAGCATGACCTCTTTTAATAATAGTTAATAGATTTTTGAGGGAAAAAAAAGTTATAAGTTGGAAAAATTATTACAGAAACCTACCAATTGGTTGTTGGTGTAGTGGTGATTGAGGCTGCACTTGGTAGGGAGGACTGCGTGTTCGATCCCTCACAACAACAATTGGGAGGGGAGTGGAACCTAACCACTCAGAACTGAGCCTCGAATCCGGATTAGCTCAAAGGGTGAAACGGGTGGAACACCAAAAAAAAATTATAATTATTTCATAAGATTTCAAATCAACACCATGAATAGAATTGTCTTTTTTTTTTTCCATTGAACCCTACTATCGTACAACTATATAATGGTAATTTAATTGTTAATATTGTATTTTTGGCTCCGGAATTTTATACTCTCCACTATATTTCAACCTTCTAAATTATAGCTTATTCTCCCTTAATTAAAAGGTCTCAAAATCTTATGTAACTATTTTAAGTTAATAGAACACGAAATAAAAAAAAGAATACAATTATTATAAAGATAATATATAAGATTAGGAATAATATACAATTATATTTGTATTATACAAATATTCAAAAAATAAAAGATTTTTTCTAAAAAGGGAGGGGGAGTTTTGGAGGGAAAAAACAGTACTAGGAAGTGACACGAGTCATTCCTGGTGTCTATTTTAGTATTGTGTTATTGATTAAAACTTTCTCCACAATTGGATTATATTATGTAGAAAGTATAGATCGAGAAGTTGTTGCGCTGAGTAAGTTAGATTGACTTATTTTGAATTTTTTTTGTTAAAGGACTAACTTAACTAAAAAGTTGAGATGATGGTTCAAGCCCAACAATAGGTTTTATACCCTATTACATTCCTTTATACGAGACATCGTTGGGCTTGAAATGTTGACATAGCATGGACTGCCCCATTATACTCAACGCTTAATATTTCAATTTAAAATTCAATAATCCAAAGCCATGATATTTGTGTCACATTAGCGCTAATGCCATATTAAAGGATCAAATCAACAAACAAGTTAAGCTAATGGTTGAGGCTCATAAATAGGTTTTCACTTCCTCTATTCACTTTTAATCTTCTTACTTATCATAGCAAGAAAAGAGGGGTTAGTAGAAAGTGGGTTTTTTTAAGACTTGTTTACTTCACTTGGAATAGATCCTGTTTGATTTTAATAAGGTCTATTGTATGAATATATAACATAGTTGAATTATAAAGAGTGTAATGTGTATTTTGGAATAAATTTAATTTTGGTATATGAGTATATCTATATACTTATATATTGAAAGACATTCCTAAAACAGAATATGTATCACATGGCACTATTCACGTGTATTAGATGTATGTCATATCATCTTTTGCATGTACTAGATGTCACATCATCTATTATTATACTATAAACATGTTTTCATGGCAATTAAAGTGTTTATTACAAGATTTGAACACAAGACCAATAAAAATTGAATAAATATTCTTACCATCTTTGCTATCTTTTAATTGTGTTTCATATTCAATTATAGTGTACTAAATACTTTGTATAAAAATCAATTTGAGAGCACTTATTTAGTTTCATAGTTATTATTGTTTACTTAAAAAATTATATATTTTATAGCTCAAATAATATTTATTGATATTAAAAACGAAACTCAATGTATCGCTCGAGCCACACACTAGTTACATATAATAAGAAAGATAACTACATAATATTATTAAAACATAAGTAAGTTAAAAAACCTTTTTAAATTCACTATTATCAGACCCCCCCCCCCCATATTTTGTATGTCTACACCAATAATAAAGTACGAAAGTTGTAATTGTTAAAATAAACTTTAAATGCATATTTATGCAAGTTAATTAACAACCAACATGAACGCATATTTTTTAAGTAAATAATTTATTATTATAAAAACACTATAGGTTAGCTCTGATACCAAGTTAGAATGTGTAATGTCAAAATTTTCCATTGATTTAAGGGGTTCCATTGTTCAACACACATTATATTTAACTATTTGCATATTTACATTGAAACCTAACCTAAAATGGGTAAGATAATATGTACACACTATTAACACATGTCTCTAAGAAGTCTTTACATATTCTTTATTTATTGCGCATAATATTATTGCAATAATGTAAAATATCAATAATGACATTACATGTTAGTCAGTAAATTAATAATGTTGTACATACATATCTACCAGATACGCACATTTACTGTTCTGCTTAACTATTAAGTTTGTAATTATAAACTGATCAACTTGCATAAAAAGACACGCTCAAATTTATTGAACCTTTAGAAGGGTAGTGCAAAACTTGTGATCTTGACAATGGTCTTACATGTTGAAACTCGTGGTTTTAGTGACAAAACCACCAAGGAACTTTCATTTTATACGTATGTTGCGTGTGAATTACCTTAAACTGTACTGTATTATGTACTTTATTATATTGCGTAAACTTTAAGGTGGATTTTGGGAGACCTAATGTTAAGCTGCTTGTAATGAATGTTTTTTTTTTTTATCCGTATTCATGTGAATGATTTTCACCCAAAAAAATCACGATTGTTTTCATGTTAGTGCAACATAATTATTTGAGCCAAGTGCATTCAAATTAAAGACAGATGTTAGAACGTGAATGATATGTGGCCAATGTGGATATCCAAGAAACTGTTGATCAATCCTTGTTGTAGCTAGTGAATTAGGATCATAACCAAGATCATCATCATGGTGATTCTACCTTGAATCGATAGGTGGGATAGAATTAAATCGACAAAAAATCAAACCGTAGGACCGTACAATACAATAACAATTAAAAATTTGGTTCTAAAACATTACTAGCTAAATGAATATATAACATATGCTACTCCCCTCATGTTTGTTCTTTTCACTTACTATTTATAGAGTCAAACTTATAATACTTTGATCATTTATTTGTACTTATATATACTAAAACATTGTGCGAGTATTTGTTGGTCGTTTCAATCTATGGTGTCCAATTATCAATATTCATAAGTTACAATTGTTCGTGCGCCATTAAAAATCTATACAATTGGTTATATATATGTGCATCAGAAACCGCTTAAAATGCATGTGAATAGGATAAAAATAAATAAAAATGGTGGGAGTACATGTTTTTATTTTCACGTTATGATCATGATAATAATGTACATTATTAATAAACATAATACTGCTAATACAAACTTATGACAGTATTCAAAGTATTCTTATGCGCCCGTTGTTTAAGTTGAAAACAGGATTGAGTTAATTTTATTAGGAAATAAATACGATTGTATTATCCTGATTGATTATGTTTTAATTATGTTCATACCTACTATTATTTCGTACAATCCTATGTGATTTTGCACACAATTGATAATGATGTAGACGAGATTTGATTATAGGTCTTGAACACGAACTCTAAAACTTTAACCAATTAAACTAATTGACATCCACATAGGCTCATATGTTGTATTACATAACACTAGCTAATATAAATTTCAATTAGGTAATCAACTACTCCATGTTCTACATACAAAGTTACTTTTATTAACATAAACTTCCTCTATTATTTTTTTTACTTGACTTGTTTATTTTATAACGTTTGCCAATGTAAAACTTTAACGATCAATAACTTTAATTCTTCTTAAGTAAAAATTATAAAAGTTATATATTATGATATTACTTATTGAGACGATTTTAAAAAGACTCATAAATATGTTTTTCTTTACATATTATTCACAAAAAACGGTCAAAGAAGAGATGGTGAATAATATAAAAGTCAAAACAGGTCAAGTAAAAAAGAACAAATGAAATAATTACTTATATTTAAATCAACGCAGTGCATTAAATATTAAATTTAAGCATTTGACCATATCAATTATTACGAAACAAAAGAAATAAACTTTTTCATCAAAAATAAGAAGAGGGACATAAGGTGGCCACACACCTTACCATACCACAAGCCATCTCAATCCATTGTCCTATAATCACAACTGACATCACACCTGACCTTCCCTATAAATAACCCCACCCAAAATTCACTTCATTTCTACACCCATTTTTATTTTATTTATCTCACAAAAACCAATTCATCCAAAAATAAAAAACCTTCTTAATAATATTTTCAAGCTTTATTAATTAGAGAAACAATCAATCATGTGTGGAGGTGCTGTAATCTCCGACTTCATTCCGGCAGGCAGATCTCATCGTCTGAATTCCGATTATCTATGGCCTGAATTAAAAAAGGGTGTTAGCGGCTATTCTAAGCCTTTGAGATCTGAAACTGTTAATGTTGTTGATGAAGATGATGATGCTATTGCTGATCAAGCTTTTGAGGCTGATTTTCTTGAGTTTAAAGATGAATCTGATGATGATGTTTCTATCATTCCTGACTTTAAACCCTTCTCTTTTGGCCTTTTTAAGCCCAAATCTTCTAATGGTATGCTCCTTTTTACCCTTTTCCCTTTTTTATATTTATTTATTTTTTTTAGAGTTTTTATGTTTATGTTCTGGTTAGAAATTTATCTGGGTTGCTGAATTTTTGTGGGAAGTGCTGATGATTATTTTGATTGATTAAAAAGATACGAAATTTTGGGTTCTTGAAGTTTTAATTTCAGTTTAATTCATGGTAGGTGAGGTGGGTAGTAATTTTTTTTTTTTTTTGGTTATCATTTCTTATAATTTACAGCTTTGTAATTGCTTGATTGTTTGCTCGAAATTTGTGGGTTTTTTTGGGTGGGTTGGTGGGTTTAGTTTACAATTTGTATTTTTGCTTAATTGGTTGCTTGAAATTTGGTTGTTTAACATGTGATTATGTTTGCTAATTTCCTTAATCATAATAATAACTGTGATTAATAATTTGGGAATTTATATAATTATTCACGACATTTGTTCATGATTATATTTATTTAGTATCCTTTCTTATAATTTACAACTTTGAAATTACTTGATTGTTTGCTTGAACTTTGTGGGTTTTTAGGTGGGTTGGTGCGTTTAGTTTATTATTTGTATTTGCTTAATTGGTTGCTTGAAATTTGGTTGTTTAATATTTGATTATGTTTTACCAATTTCCTTAGTTATTAATAATTTGGGAATCTCTATAATTATTTATGATATTTTCATGATATATACAGTATATTTTTTGCTTAATAAAGGAGTAATCTTTGTTGAACTTGGTTCAATTTGACTGATGAATTGTTTTTTTTTGGTTGATGTCAATTTATGGATTGGTTGATTTTTTTGGCCTCTTTGTCTGCGTGTTGTAGAGGAACATTTGTAGAGTGAAATTTTTTTCCATTTTGTTGTGTATCAAATTTGGGAAGATGAACTAAATTAACAAGATTAAAAATTATATGGTGAAAATGATTTTGCAAGAGCATAGATAACATGAATTCATAGAATTGATGATGGAAAAAGTATTTTTGTGGACAATTCTTCCTCGAGATAAATTTTTGGTTTATGTAGTTGATCCCATCCTTTCGGAAATTCGGGATTAAGGCTTTGTTATTGTTGTTGGTGTTGTCGAATTCCTGCACGGCTCTTATTTTCTCGTTTGGGTAGATTTGATGAATTTGAAGTGATCAGCTGTTAATAAAATTTCATACTTGTCAAATTTCAACAGGACTTTTTTTACCATGTGACTGATTAATGTCATCTTTCTGAACTTTCTAGGAAATTTTGGTCTGACTAATATGTTTTCAGATTTACTGTTACTGCGAGTTTGTTTAATCTTGTTTCACCCGGAAAATTGCTGGCTTGTGCATTTGCTTATTATGTCATTCTTCTGATGTTTGAAGGACTGAAGCCTGTGGAGTTCAATAGCCAGGCTGAGAAAACCGCCAAGAGAAAGAGAAAGAACCAGTATCGTGGTATCCGACAACGCCCATGGGGCAAATGGGCTGCTGAGATCCGTGACCCAAGGAAGGGTGTTCGAGTTTGGCTCGGAACATTCAACACTGCTGAAGAAGCTGCTAGAGCATATGATGCTGAGGCACGCAGGATCCGTGGTGAGAAAGCCAAGGTGAATTTCCCTGAGGAAACCCCAGTATCAGCTGCTGCTCCTAGGCGCACTGTTAAAGCTCGCTCCCAGAAACCCGCTGCTAAGACTGCCTCACCTACACCACAGAACATGAACCAGAGATTCAATATTATGAACAATGCTCAGAATGAGTATTACAATAATTTTGCTCTTGTGGAGGAGAAGCCGCAAGTTAATCATTTTGAGTACTCGAACCCAATGCCTGCTCTGGGAGAGGTAGCAGTTAACCCCTTTAACTCCCTTTCTGGGGGTAGTGATCTGTTTTTCAATTCAGATGAAGGTAGTAACTCCTTTGATTGTTCTGACTTCAATTGGGGAGAGAACGGCCCGAAAACCCCAGAGATATCTTCATTCTTTTCAGCTGCACTCGAAAGTGATGACAGCGGAAATGCAACAAAGAAGATGAAATCGACATCAGGAGATGCTGTACCTGTTGAGGAGAACAGCGGAAAGAGCCTGTCTGAGGAGCTGTCTGATGTTGATCTCGAATCCCAGTTGAATTTCTTGGAGACGCCTTACCTTGATGAGAACTGGGCTATTGAAGCTTTTCTTGGAGGTGATGCATCTAATGGAGGTGTTAATCCAATGGAGCTGTGGAGCTTTGATGACTTCCCCGGAGGAGTCTTCTAAGCTAAGGGTGCGCTTAGCAGACCTTATGTAAATAAAACATGTTAGTTACCACCTCTGGTCAGTTAGTCTTTGTATCGCCAAATCATTCAGAAACAAACTTTGGATTTCGAGTTTAATTTTTAATCTAGAGGTGGTGATTAGAATCTGTTTTTGTCCAATTTTCAGGAGTGTCTGTTCGCGAGGTGACTTTTAAATATGAGATTGCGTAGTGGTCTTATTGGGCAGTTGCAGTTATATGGGAGTACATAGGTAAATTTAGGTTCGTTCTTGCATTTGAGACTCTTTAAGTTTCAGAATATGTACTTGCTATGTTTATCCCGACTTCATGAAAGCTGAACCTCTGCTTTCAGTCTGTTATTGCACCTCTAATTATGGTTTGTTGCTTTATTTCTAATGCGTCTGCCATTAGGACAAGCTTCAATGAATGGTCATGTATTTTGGTTGGCTAAGCCGACATTTTATTGAGTCCTTCAGAAATGGCTCGAAGGGTAGAGTTTGTAGTGAAAGACTTTGCCCGATTTTCCCTTGCATTAGATTGCGTACTTTCATAACATGGCAAGCTATCTTCCTAGTGCCTTGGGCATAGATTGCTTACTAGTTTGGGTGTGAGAATTTAGGTAGTAAGTAGTTGGACAAACGCAACATTGTCTATTTGATCAGGGTATCCTATCTTTGCTATGTTTAAATGTTTGATTAGCTAACTTTGATAGAGCCTTAAGCATAATTGATAGGTTTAAATCCCCCTAAAGTGGAAGGCTTAATATTAGCATCTAGTGTTTTCTTGACACAATCGATAGGTTTAGTTCCTTGAAATGGAAGGCTTAAAATGCATTTGACGGATGATATCCCTTACTCCATACCTTAAAATGTTTCAACATCTCTCGTGTTTTCAATCGAAGCTTGTATTTACGGAGTATTAGGAGTAGCAAACTAGCAAAAATCCCGAGATACCCTTGTGATATGCCAAAAATGAAATTGGGTCCTTTAATCTTATCTTAAAAATGAATTAATCATCCTTTCGTTAAGGTAAAACAAAGATTAATCGAAGTAAGATTTTCCTTGAGTCGTATTAGCAAATACTCAGAACCACATTGCTGTAGTATAGTTGTCAAGACGTACAAATAATGAAATCATTATTTGAAGCGTTACTAATTTAAGAACACGTTAGTTCCTGGGAAATTGTTGGGGTAAAATAGCACAACTCTCTCAAACTTTGAGCTGCAAGTTGCTACTAAAATGTTCTAGTACTATTTAGTAATATTATAAAACGTAACGCTTAAATAATTTAGCAAGTTGCAATATTTTCAATTGTCACGTCTTTGATATAAATAGAATATGTTAGGGCCCCCATTTTTGTCTCCATTTTGCTAGTGGACGTATGTTTATCGCCCCATTTTGAAGGGTGTTATTTTAGCTTTACTTGGTTTGGCTTCATTAGCATTGAGCTATAGGCCGGAGAATTCACCTCTTTATTCTTTAGGGTATGAGTTATGGACTTATGGCCAATATACTTGCCATTCTTCACGTGAAAGGCCATGGTTGCGACGTCGGTGCCGCTGAACGACTTTTGCTGCGGCGTTGCGCAGACGTTCTATATTGGAAAACTTCCAATTAAGTTCCTTGTGTTTCTAGGGATAAGGGATGGGAGTGACTTAAATTTTTAGTGTTACATTTGGTCATTTATGAGATGGTGTAATGTTGTACTTTATAGGGATGATGGACTGATACATAATAAATTTTAGATTTTAGTAATGTATCAAGTGCATTCTAGAGTCGCTTTGATGGCTGAAAGCGTCACTCATAATTTAGAGATTGGGGGTCCGTTTCTTATTTATTTAATTTTATATGCGTACTATTTGTTGATTTTTATTATAGCTGTTACATAATGAGTGACGTAGATGTATATTTTAAAACCATTTACCTATTAAAGGGATGATCTCATGGTGTATTTTAAAAGTACGTACCTAGACGTGTCAATTGAAAGAGGTTCGCCTCTCTGCTTGTCTTTATTACACTATTTTGTTTAAAATTATGAAATGTGACTTGAAAAGAGAGGCAACTTAAACACACCCTCATGTAAAACAAAAGAGCGCTACAAGAATTTAGCTCATTAGCAAATTAAAATAGCAAATCAAGCAAATGCCTACATACAGAGTACATTTAAGGTCGTAAAGTATTTAAAAACAACCGTATAATGGTTTCTAATAGTAGAATTTTGTTGTGATTAAACCAAAATCTTGCTCTAAAGGTGAAAACCTCATTGCTAAATACATGGGGATTTAGCTTTTTTCCAAAGTATTTCCATTATTATTGAATCATAGAAGCTGATAAGATAAAGTACAGTACTAATATATGTAGTACATACGTGATAGTTCAACTATTGAAATAAATAATGTGATTCTATTATTTAATTTTTTTTTCTAGATCAAGAGAGTACTTAATGATTAATGGCCATTTAGAGTTTTGTGTAGTTGTTGAAATAGTAAATACATATTAATCATCGGTCTAAAATAAGTAAATTGCTTATGATGACAGTAACCTTTCTATATTGATTTGAGAGGACCTCATTGATTTGTTGTGTGCGCGACTACCTTATTTTAGGTACTTTGTTTAGGTATACTTAGAAATGCTATCATTTGATGAGATCAAGAAATAGTACTATCAAATTATTTGTAATGATTTAACTTAAAATATGAGTAGAAAATATCAAATCGTTGTAAATTATTTAAAACAGTGATAGTATACAAGTTTGAGAGACTAGTTAAATATGAAATATTTAATCCCAATTGAAGATATATGCACGTTGATATTTTGATCTATATGGAAAGTATATATTTATGGCGGTACTTTGATGTCGTTTTAATTATAGCCGTGTAGAAGATGGTTGTGGTGATTGAGATGTGCAAAACTCAAAGATTTCGGAATTGATTCATAAAATTCCCCACTTAGTCAACATTGTTGTAGATTCTTGGTCATTGTATGTTTGTATAATCTTATGTGTCAATACTACTTTAGTTATGTCTTTGACTTGAGGGGATTAGTGGACCCTATTGTCATAATTTTAATAAAGAATAAATCTACCATTTAAAGTCACAATATGTCTCGATATTTCACCTTAAAATAAATAAATTATTAAATTACTCTATCTCATAAGGGAGATAAGACCATAACAATGGAATCAAGACATCTGGCTATCAGGAATAAGGACACTCTTCTTTTGGTCATTTCATGATAGATTATAAAGCTTTAATAATAATGGCGGTGGTTTACTAATTACTGTCTTAACTTATTTAACTTATATAAAATTATGAAGTAACGTAAAATGTTATCTCCAACTGTACTACTATGTTCTATCCACGCTGAACAACGAACTTTACATTTTTCAAATTATTATAGTCCAAGTGGACTATTTTTAAAGTATTTATTTTATCATGGGACCTTGACTCGGCTATAAACATCAAAACATTATGGAGGTTTTATTAAGGTAATGATAAGAGAGTCTATATTTGTTTAGCGTTTACACCCATCCCATCATCCTCATTCTTCACTAGTCACTAGTAAGATCCGAATCCCAAACTTATAGAATCTTAGGTAAAACCTTATCAAATGAATTTGAAATACTATTTGACTGACAAACCATTTATATTTCGTATCAGTTTTTTAATATAATTTACTCGAATAGAATTAATAGCGTTTGACATGACAAATAACACACATTAACTTCAATACAAATCTTAAGAATAATTTTAAGTTGTTTATTTCATATCTTGTTAGGGTTGGTGAGTGCACAACGAAAGCAAACTAAAGATGTGGAGATTGATAAAAATAATTAGGAGAAAGATAAAGGCAAGACAAGTAGTGAAGAAATGGACACACAATATTTAACGTGGGAAAAATTATCAAAAAATCCATGAACGACGAACACCACAATAATCTTATATGAAAAATAAGAGATTACAAGAACCCTTGAAAGGGTGATTAGTACAAGCAAACTCTCAATATTGAAACTGTCAAAGGAGTATTACAAATAGAGAATAGTGGATTCGTGGAGAAGGTAAATAGGTAAAGAATTATAAGGAGGTGAGATAAGTAGAAAGACTTGTGTATAGGTATGACTTCTTGTGTGTGTATGTGGTATGTATGTTGATTGAATGCCCATGTCCTATATTCATAGTTGTAGATGGAGCTTAGAAGAAATGACCGAAAACTTCCAGAACTTCCTTCATTACTCTTGTATCCATAATATTCTAAAACTTCTAGAGAAAATATGGGCAAAGACTATCCGCTTGATTTTTCCGAAAACATCTAGAATATGCATAAATACTCCACTAAAATAACGGGCTTGTAAAATTTGGAATACACCCAACAATGTAGATTAACTATTGCCCTCTTGTCTAAATAAAGTTTTATTTAGAAAAATACATGATCTCTCCCAAGCATTTTGTAGTTAGTGGGACTCGAACTTGTAACCTCAAAGTCACAAACTGAGTTCCCAACTAACTTCACCAAGCTTTGCTTGGTAATAAATGATCTTATTAATAAGTTAAAACTAGATGAAACCCGTGCGATGCACGGTTTGTTTGTATTTTTTTCAAATAAAATATTTTACTAAATATATATTTATCTAATAAACTTTGTAATATTCGCTTGCTTACTACTTGAATTTTTTTTATTGTAAAATGAATTATTAACTTTGTTTCTCATATTTAGATAAAATTCGTAATTTAAAAGATAATATTTTATTTCACAAAGTTTCATATGTAGCTGGTCACACCGTGTGGTCGGGATTACTTGGTCAGGAATTCCTTGGTTGGTCAAGGGTTACTCAATCGATCATGGATTACTCGGTCAGTGTTTGGGTGTGTCTCAGCCGGCCACACGATATGGCCAGCCACACAAAAAACGCGCTGATTTTATTTTTATAATTAATATAAAATTTTTGATCTAAAATAAATTGCAATTCTTTTTTTTCATGGGCTAAAATATAATATTTTCCTATGTGATGCTCTAAAATTAAACTTACGTGGCATAATCCTATTGTAGCGTTTTAAAATTATTAATCCTACATGGCGCTTTTTTATTATAATCCTATGTAGCGCTTTAAAAAAACTAATCTTACGTGGCATAATCCGATTGTAGCGTTTTTAAAAATATTAATCCTAAGTGGCACTCTAATAATTTTTTAAAAATTAATATCCTACGTGGCGCTCTAAAAACTCGGGAAAAAACTCCCTTTTATGTATATACTAGTTTTGTGCCCGGGTGATGCCCAAATGGTTGATAAAATTTTAAGATAACATTTTTACTTGAATGTTATTTACGGTCAAATAATTCGTTCTAATAATGTAGGATATTTAGACATACTTTTTGTAGTTTTGTTTGTAAATAAATATCTATGTTATTATTGACTTAAAATTATTTTTATTAAACTTAAATTATTCTCACTGAACTGAAAGTATTT